AATGATGGATCACCAACAAATTTAAAAAACCAAAACCAAAAAACAACAGAGGAGACAGGATAACAATAAACATTATTCCCACTCAAAATGAAGTAGCTCTGCTCTGCTTTCTCAACAGCAGCTACTTAGGAATTCCTACAGTATCCTTCTACCTTGTAAATGCTCTCCAGTTTGGGAATACTCTCAGGGTAACAAATTGTTGGAAAAAGTCAGTGAACTAGCTATGGCAGAGGCACTCTCCCTTACCCTTGATCTTCCCAGTTTGGTGGTTAAAAATTCCTGGTGAAGTGTTCATATAATAGTGAAATCTAATTTTATAATTTACATGTATATATGCATTCACAAGAACATTATTCAAGGAAAAAAAAAAAAAACTACACTTGCACCACTAGGAAACTTCAAAGGAAACTCATAAAAATGTAATATAAATGTTATTTATAGAACTGTGCTAGTTAACACCGAGGAAGGAGGCAGCACAAGTCCTTCACCTTCTGGAGTCTATTCTGAGAAGTGTCAGAAAAATAATGGGGTCTCCTGACCACATACTGAGGATCTGCCCGTATCAAATACACTAAGTCTGTCCATATCAAATATTCTAAGGTAACAGATAATTTTTCACCCGTCAGATATTCAAACTCATATAGCACAGTAATTAAGTAACATTATTGCAGGTTCCTGAACATCATCATTAGTAACTGTGGTAGAGATTTTCTAATCAGAAGCCAGCCAGTGACTCTCTTGATGATATTACAGGGCAGACTATAACTTAGCTTGTACATCTACTTAGCTGAAATCACTCTAACAGTCCCCCAAGTAAGTTTTATATGGGACTCGACTGCGGCACGAGCTTTGTGCAAGCCCTCTCCATGGAAATGAACTTCACCTTTTAAGAACTGCACTAAAAACTTCATTTTTGTCAGCAATGTAAACAGAAAAGATCTTAAAATTCAGCGGGAAGTGTCCAAAAGTGTTGTCCAAGCCTGATTATTTCTCCGACAGCTACAATACCTCAACTTTAAATATTTTTTTCAAGAATGAGAAAGTAAAAATAATCCAAACTTCAGTAAGAGCACAGATCAGCTCTTCAAATCTATTAACGTTTCCCAGGTGAAAATGGCTGTGCACTCATCTAATTAAGGTGAGTTATAAGGCGGACCAGAGACAAACGTATAGCTGGGCGTTTCACTGCTGAAGTGGGACTACTTTACTATCCCAAATTCCCAAAGAAATACTCAACTATCGTTATCCTGATCATTAAGTCCAACTGTAAGACCTCTGTGTGAGTTGTAGAACATTTCTGGCCATCTGAGGAATATCGGTGACCGTAAATTAGTCACAGAAACTGAGAAAATAAAGCATTTGTATAATCTTTATTGGACTGCCTGGGCTGTCTTTGCCCGACTCACAGAGACCATGCATCCCTAATCCTTCTGTGAGAACGATGAAATTCCACTGTGTTACTCTGCCAAGGTAGGACACAGATAACTAAAAATCACAGTATTTACACGCAAAATATGAAGTTTGGCCTATTACAATAAATAAGACAGCAGATACCTACCAAGAATTACTTTGTTAATACATATATTACCCCCATGGAGGCTCTGATTCAGGCTTGAGATACACTGGCCCACCAGATTTGCAAAAGATAGGACACAAACTTCTGACGATAAAGAAATGCCATACTCTAAAAAATGCCAAACAGGAGATTTTGAAAATGCCACCCTCGATTTGTCTGGCCTGCAATTCCACACAGCCTGTATTGAGAGCAAACCCCTGTAAGCAGTTTTATCCTCATTTCTTACTTCTTCATGAAATAAAAACTGTACCACGATGCAGTTGGCCAAGTGACCAATAATTTTATTTGTTTGACTTTCCAGAGAACAGAAGGGAGCTATAAACAAGGGGATCAATCCGTTACTTGGATAGAAGGATTGCAACAGGCAAAGCGGACAACTCCGGAAAGCACAAATCACCGCCAGTCCTTTTTACTGCTGTGGCATAAAGGAAATTCAACCAGAAGAGACCCTCATGGTGTTGGAACTGCACAGTTTACGAACAAGACCAGTCCTTGAAGTTTTTATCCTTGAAGACAAAGCAAAAAGCAGGCTGGGGAAGCACTGGAGAGGGCTGAACCACGGGTTGGGGATGCCATCCCTGGGCACCCTAACAGGACGTAAGGGTCACCCTGAGACGACCAGATTGTTGGCCATAAGGGTGATGGGAAACTCACATCTGACTGTCTAGGACAATACCTGACCTCATCTAATGCAAATATTAACAAAGATATTGATGACTTGTGGTGCAGAAAGCAGTCTTCAAGGAACTGAGCTAAACCAGAGTCGTTTCTCAGAGACCAAAGAGCAACAATATTCAACCTTTAACAACCCAGCCAGTATAGGAACCACAAGCTAGAGATCAAAGTTGTCTGATCTGTAGCCAAGAGCCTGAGCCAGCTAGCTTATAAGCACTGCATCACTGGAAAGTCATTTTTATAGTTTAGATAGTTTATCCTTCAGTTCACTCCAAAAAGAGAGAGGAAAAGCAATAAGAAGTACACACATTTCTGTTCTTTTTTTCCCCAGTAAAATCCTTAAGAAAGTTTCATCAGGCAAAATAAGCAGATGTTTTCTGTCCCAAGTCACTTGCTTGTCAACGAGCATCTGGAATACGACCGAGACAAAAACCTAGTGAAGGAATCAACTGTATTTAGGCAAGTACGTCTGTCTCTGCACTGCCTCTACACTACCTAGATACCATTTCCCTCTTTCCTGTCACAACGCAACCGGCTCTCCTTCCAGGTTTTCAATAAAATGAGAACTGATCTACCCAGGCACAGCAAAGAAGCAGAGGCAAGTGGCTACCAAATTTTTCCACAAGTGAAAAATCTCCTAAATCAAAAAGGAAACTTCTCTACCATTTTATTTCCAAGCAAAGGTATCAGTACTTAAACAATGGCTTTCCCATGACGATTTCTACATCCTTGTCAAACACCCTTAAAGAGTTAGCGAGTTACCAACTTGAAAACGACTGTTCCAAACGGTAAGCTTCCACCTAAGCAGGTGCTACCCCACCTCAGTGCCTGTCCATGGCCGTGCTACCAAGCCTTCCACACCAAGCCACTGCAGCCTTCCTCCCACCACAAAGTCTTCTTCCTACTCTTCAGGCGGGCACACTCCATGGTCAAGTCCTCTCTCTATATATATTAGATATTTCCAGAGAAGGACTGTAGACTGCGTACACAACTAGCAGTGTAAATTGATCCTCCCTGTCCTCAATTCTGTATTTTCCAATGGTTTGGTTTAGTTTGGGTTTTGGGGTTTTTTTACTGTTTATTCATCTGCATCATTTCTCATGCCTTTGTATGAGGGAAAAAAAGCCCCACACCTTTATATTAACCAGCGGAATTAGGCAGTAAGACAAGATTCTGCAAGAAACTGTGGAACAAACATCGCTGAAGTATTTAAAACTGTGAACAGACAACATGGATTTAATAGGTATCGTTAAATAAACACTGCCATAATGCAAGAGGTTGCCCCTAAGTGCTATAGGCTGGGCTTTCTGACTGCCACGGTTCTATGAAGTTCAATTTCCAAAGCAGAAAACACTGCTGCTGTACTTCGCCTTAGCAAGCAGCAATGGCATTACTTTAGACCGGGCTGAAGAAAATACTTGCCTTCATTCTGTGCATAATTTTGGTGTCTTTTCTTTATGACGCTTTACAGATTTTAAAGTAAAGGGGTTTTTAACATTCTTAAAAGAGCTTAAAAAGCAAGAAAAACAACCGACGTTTTGAGATATTAGATTAAAAGCAAATAATAAAACAAAAAAATGGATACTGGCAAAGTGAAGTCATGCAAAGAGTCAGCAAGTACTGGAATGACATGAAAAACCAAGGAAGGTAAGACATTATTAAATGTTACTTAAAGTAATAGGACGGTGTTCAGGAAACTCTATTTTAGGTTAAATACCAAGTAAAGGTTCCAGTAATGAAAGAAATGGTTGGACAGCCTTCTAAAAGAAAAGGTGGAATCAAGCCAACCTTTGGCAACACTTCATACAAATTTTCACGTAGCATTAGAAGGTATATTGCAGGGCCTGACTTTTTTTCTTTGTGTGTGTTAACGGACTACACGTGGTTATTGCAGTTCAGTGGTTCTGTTATCAAAACATTATTTCCTCATTCGTTAACTGAGATTTAAGAAAAAGAATTGTGTTTTAGTAATAAATACAAGCATAAATTATCATCATTTTCTAATTTTTTTATAGAACAGTATCACTTTAAAGCTCACTTGAGTGTTGAAGTGTTGCACATATATGGAATAAAGACATATTATTTCAGCATGATAAGTATGTAAATAAAAAGAAAGATATAGAACTATTCTACGCATGAGGGTGAAGGGGAATGATCTATGACTTTATATAGCTATGATTAAATCACAATTTTTGTGTCTGTCTATAGGCTGGGGGTATAGGTGATGGCTGCCTGGATAGTCTGTCATCATCTTCATGTCTGCATGTAGATCTGCAAGGAATTGGTCGTTCCCAAAAGTTCTGCTGTGTATTACAGAGTTGTGCTCGTTACACTTTGAACTGTTAGTCTGCTAGCATCTCCAGGTACAATAGCTTCCTAAAGAGCAAAACAGTCTGGGAGTCATTCACTTTTTTGGAAACTTTTAGCAACAAAGCGGTGACATCACCAGCGCGATGATCAAACAGTTCCATTTGGAAACTGTTCACGTTATTTAGTAGTTAGTGATCGGGGTGGGGGGCTAATAGTATGAGGTGGCTCTGAGCAGATCATATCATAATAGAGAAATCAGAGTGTCTCCCTCTCGCCAAAAAAAGGGAGACGGAGGGTTAGGGCGACAGATCAAAAGTATGGAGTCAAAAACAGGACCCAGGAGCCAACTAAGAGTGCTTTTCACCAAGAGAAGTCCTCTACGCAGTACCAAAGAGTACTCTGTGGAGGACTCAAGGATATTACACGGACTGTCACGTACCACAACGTTTAGACGCAGGAGTGAAGGAGCCCCAGTAACCTGACTGGTGACCAAGCTTAGCCAGCACGGGGCAGGAGATGAAGTTGAGTCGAGAAGGCTCCAGCTAAGCATCCCTGGACGGTGGAGCACAGGGATCCCATGGCCGCAGGTCTCAGCCACCAGTTTGCTCTGCTGTCCCCTGGCCCAGAGCCTCAGCTGGAAGGCGGACGCGTGGCTGGGGGCCATCACCGCCTCCTCCTGCTCCGCTGTCCATCCGCCCAGCCCACCAGCCAGAAGCTTTTCAGCAAATCTCCAAGTCAGCGCGAACCACATCCTTGCAGTTATATCCCGCTTTGCTACCATTACGATATGGTAATTAATTCCTTCAAAGGATGTTTCTGTAGAAAATAACAACAAAAACATTGCTGTACCCTATTATGCCCGTGGTATCTGTGATGCCGACACCTGCCCAACTGCTTTGTACGAGCCATGGCACGGCCAACCCGCCTGGCCTGTGACTGCACTCCCAACCCTCCTGACAGTGTGTGTGTCACCAAATCTCCATCTCAGAAGAATGATTTTGCTCTTAACGCGCCGTTCGCTAAAGCTAACACCTTTGTCGAGGGGAATGAGCCTGAGTCGGAGAGTCCCGGACAGCATCTCCCAGCAGAGAGCCAGGGAGTGCAGAAGAGGCAGCTACTGAGCAGCCCCCAGCCTGACTCCCAGTCCCACATGATCTTGAAATATTAGATTTATCGCTGCTAAAAATAAAACCATGTGATGCAGACGCATGCACTGGAGAGTCTGTGGTTATGCGGTGAAACCAGGAGAGCTGAGATACTGTAACTATGAGCCATTCATCTAGAGTCAATGGTTTTATTTGCATTTATGATCCAGTTAGTTTTTATTTTTTATTTTTTCTAAAATTCTGTTATTATTACTGCATAGGCATATGCATGATTTATTACCCATTGATTTCCTAAAACTGTAAAAAGTAGGGTGGCTTTTTTCCATACCATTTTACTGATTCCAATCAGCAGGTTTGTATTATGCTTGCCATTTGAAGGCCAAATATCAATATGTTCCATTAACATTTTGGAATTAAGTTACCTTCTGGCAAGCAATTAAGCAGAAATTAGTTTCTTTTTTGGCATATATAGCTTCCTTTTGACTTCAAAAGTCCTTTCAAATATCTATCTCATACCTTTAAGATCTGCAAACTTCATCATTAATTATTGTTTGGGGTTTTTCGAATTATCCTAAAATACCACGTCACCTAAGAAGAGGCACAACTCAGAGAATAAAATAACTACACCAGCCCCGAGATGAACGCGCTTGTAAGACTGCAAGTACAATTCCTGAGGAGGAGGTTACTATCAGGTAAAATGGCAGGACTACATGAACTGACTGACTGATGGCAAGTGTCAGAGTCCAATTCATTTAGGGACAGATATAATTTGATACCATCGAAACCTTAACGAAAATGATGAACTGCTCATCACCATGTACACTTGCCGTTAGAAAGGAAGAACAACCAGCAAAAGAACAGAAAGATATTCCTAGTAGCTAGAGATCGTCTTAAAATCTCAAGTGTGAGGCTTAATATCCCCTTCAAAATTTGTCAGCATGGATTATGGCAGCCGTAAATATTTCTGATATTCATTAAAATAACCTTTTTAAAACCTTGGTAAATTCTTCAACCTAACAACTTACTGCCGTAGTGACTTTCACAACTTAATCATCCATCTGAACAAGAATTTTAGCAGTTTCGGAATTTGCAACCTTCTGAGTCCTATAAATATCTACTTTAGTGCTTTAAGACAAGGAAAACAGAAACTACCCCAATCTACCTTCTCTATCACTATTTACTGCTTTATACAGTTTTAGCACGTCTCTCCTCTGACTCATCTGCTTTTTAAGGTAAACAGTCACAATTTTCTTCAGCCACTTTCCACAACCGAGATTTCCCCAATCCTTTTTCAGCTTCATCTCGTGTTCTCAGAACTCCCACTAACTCTCAAATGCTATTTTGAGGTGAGATGAGGGCGTTCTTTGATGTATCAGTTTTTACTTTGGGTAACATTCTCCATGCTGTTCTTTATTACTTGTCCTATTCTTAAGGGTATGTTTTCAAAATTACTGGGATTTTTTCTTTTACTACTGTATTTTTCACGTCAGCTGCATACGAAGAAAGAGCTTGCTCTTCTCAGGTCCAGGTCGTTCCCAACTGGAGGTCTCCATGGAGGGGTGCAGGACTGACAGCCCCACAGCTCTCCATGCTGAGGGATCAGACACCATTTAAGACACTGCCCAGTTCTGCCTTTCGGCAGGGCTAATGGGGCAGGCACAATCCCACACCAGCGCTGCTTCATGCCTGTGAGAACGGAACAGTCCCCACCAGTTTAAAGTGGGAATTTACCAACGTAAGAAGGTCAAACCGGTTAACGTGTCTTTCGCTTCTGTCTCCGATACAGGTTTTGAGTCGTGCCAGCAAACTGACTCTCATCTTAGTAGCACCATGTTTCTTAATAATCATCTGCGAAGGACAGTGAAACTTTCTAAAAGCTTTCATCAGTTAAATCCAACGATTTTCCATCTGCCAAAAGACCTTCCTCCCCATCAGTCTGGCATAATACTATTTTCTTCTGTGCAATCTTGATGGCTGCAATCTATGAGTTGTGACCTGTCAGTAATTTCAGCTAATTTACCTTTCAGCTAATTTACCAACTACCAGTATGAACTTACTGGGTTGTAATTCTCCAGACGCTTCCTAGAGCCTTCTAACACATTTAGTTCCACATTCTTACGATGTTATTTCTAATAAAACCATACTTATTTTGTCTAACACCTTAGCCACCTGATACTTGAGCTCTCTCAACAAATCTGGATGCGTACCTGCAACGAGGACTGGTACTAATAAATAATTTAACATCTCTGCAATATTCTGCTTTCCTGAATCGCTCCCTTTGCACGTGGCAATCCAACCGGCGTGTCCATCAGTTGTCCCTGCAACTTCCAGCTTCTCGGTCACTGAAAGCACTCTCTGTTACTTGTTCCTATTCCTTCAGCTGTGTCCTCCACTGTCAGCATTTCAGTCTTTAGGGGTCCATTTTCCCCTGTTGCAGGCTTACCTTACGGGCTAACTTGCCTCTAAGAGTCCTACAGCCAAGCACCTTCTGAAGACAGTGGTTTTCTTCTCTCCAGGCAAGGTGCAGACAAAAGACCATCCGGTTACTGGATGGATCTCAGAGACATTGCCCGGGATCTGCTGGGGATGGGGGAACTGCCAAGCCTCTCCCTTCCCTGCTTCTCTCACTTGCAAGACTACAGCGAAAAAATGCTCTTGGTGCATGGGCTTGTGTAAGGGATCGCTTTTACTGGAACTTTCTCCCTGTTTGTTAGATCTCCAAGTACACCAGAAGGTGACAAAGTAATCTCATTTATAGTTTAACACCAAAAAAAATTCAAGTATTTTTCTGCAGTCATAAAGAATAGAATCACAAATATTAACGGCTCAAAAGCCAAAAAGCTTTAGTGTTTTTAAGTTAAATTCACACATTTTGGGTCGGAGGACTTTCGAATACTTGTGTAAACAAACACTACAGACCTGAACTAAGAAACGCAAGACAACTAATGAGATGATCCCCTACGGACCCTTGGTCTCTCCTCTTTTCCTACACGATAAGGAGAGCTAACAGCTCCACAACAGATTCAGGTTGAATCAGTCTCTTACTCTTTGCCCTACTCACCACATTTCTGTAGCGTCTACACTTACAACACTCCAAACATGAAATGTGTTCCCTCACAGCCCCTAGCAGCCACAGATGAAGCAGTAGTATGTTAAAAGTACAACATGTACAAAAAACCCAACCAAACAAAAAAACCCAAACCAAACAGGTCCATGTTGTTTGATCCCTTCATTATCGATAAGCATAATATGCCTTTACATTCCGCGTTACCTAGGCTGAACAACTATTTATTAGGCTACTCTGTAACCAGGCTCAAAATAAATGACGTTTGACTTGCTTTAACAGTACAGGGCATTGCCTTTCCCTAGAATTAACATGACTTGATAGCTGCACTATGCAATACCCCGGTTTTCTAAACAAGAAGGCCGTGACTCTTCACGTAATTCTTACCGTAGCACTAAACAACATCAACGTGGTTCAGCTGTAAGCGAAACAAGGCATGCGTGAAACGGTGTGAATTGATGCATGCTTTCAACAAAAAGTCAAGACTGATGAGTAGTGCCAGTGTGGTGTTTAGGATCTACACAAACACTCCCAGGTTGGTTGAGTCAGATCTGCCAAGCGCTGTGCTTTGCAGGAGACCGGGAAGAGCTGCTGTATAAATTTTCTTCAGTGGGCAAAGCTCCCATCTCAGCTGCTTGTTCCCACGCCTGGTTCCCATCTTACTGTTCCTTCCTTTGTGCCAATGCAATTGTGCGAGCGGCTGCACGGTAAATCAGATCACAGAAATAATCGCTTCCAATGATTAAGTGTTGCTGAACTACAGTGCAGGAAAATCACAGAATCATCACAGAATGGTTTGGTTGGAAGGGACCTTAAAGACCGCCCACTTCCAAGTCCCCTGCCATGGCCAGGGACACCTTCCACCAGACCAGGTTGCTCAAAACCCCATCCAACCTGGCCTTGAACACTTCCAGGGATGGGGCAGCCACAGCTGCTCTGGGCAACCTCTGCCACTGCCTCACCACCCTCACCGGGAAGAACTTTTTCCTGATATCTCACCTAAAATCTTCCCTCTTCCCGTTCAAAGCCATTGCCCCTTGTCCTATCACTCCATGCCCTTGTCAAAAGTCCCTCCCCAGCTTTCTTGTACTCCCTTTGGATACTGGAAGGCTGCTCTAAGGTCTGCCCGCAGCCTTCTCTTCTCCAGGCTGAACAACCCCTACTCTCTCAGCCTGTCCTCACAGCAGAGGTGCTCCAGCTCTCGGATCATCTTCATGGCCCCCTCCAGACTTGCTCCAACTAGTCCAAATAAACTTCTTGAATAAGTTCTGATGCCAAAAGGCTGTTCGTGAAACTGCATTCATGACCCTCGGGTACCGCTGCAGTGACAAAAACAGGCTGGCAGCACAGCAGAGCATGTTCATATGATGGCGATGGCCTCTTATACCCAACACAGCTCAACTCCTACACAAGTTGCATCTGGCTCATTCAACTTCAGAGCTGAAGAAAGGTGACAGTCCTGCAGAGCTCCAAAACCGGGGGGGGTTTTGGGGGACCCTTTGGTTGGCCTTGTCGCTGGTCGAGAGGAAGTCTGTGGCTGATGGACAGCCCACGGCCTGGAGCACCAAGCACTGGGGAACCCAAATCCCAAGATGTCTGCCAGTTTGTTTT